TTAAGTCCCCAAAGTTTCAGCCCCGTAGCTTTTGCCGGTCTCGAGATGAAAAATCGGTACAGACGCTCAGCGCACACCCAGACACACACACACACGCAGACAACCTCTCGTCAATATGCGTTTTTCGCACTGCATTGCTGCAAAAAATGCATAAAAAATAGTCGAATTTTAATATTTGGTGAAACTCAAAAGAGCCACTTAGCTGTGTCAGATAAGCAAACCGGTATTTAGGGTAGGCGACGTCTGTGTTTCATCCCTGAACTGTGGACACAGACGGTTGAATCACTGCGAAATGGGGTGGGATTCATCAGTACAGTACCCCATTTCTTTGTCTTTGAGGGGACATGTGAGTTTCGGTAAGAAGGATGAGAAGGAACAAAAATAGAGTTGTTTATAAAAATTGTATTATTGCTCGGAAGATAAACTTACGTGCAAGAGGTATGTTTCCGTTTTCGATTTCTTCATCGGTGGTTTTCCAGATAGCGCCATGTGAACTGGAAACCATCAATCACATCTGTGTAAGAGTTTAGCAGTTGTGCATGCGGTCTCGTTATTAGCGTGTAATACGATTTGGTGGCTGCCCTAACAGCCGACATAAGTTCCTAATTCCGTCGTTATTCGCGTCAATAAATTTACTTATAATTGCCCGATTTCGGTAACTAAACTTCAACACAGCTGCTTTAATTCTGTTGGCGCTATATCCACGGTGTTCATGCGTTCCAATAAGTCGTTTAGCCCACCATGTAAATTCTTGCGTACCGCAACAGCTGGGACATAATTATTCCGTCGTGTGTCGTGGAGTCAACATCACTGTTAGGATGACTGGCTTGGTTTACGGAGAAGGGATAGTCCAGTGTTTTGTTGTAAACATCAAAAACCAAGTGTCTATCTGCGCATGTGATTGTTAGGTCAAGAAAACAGGCGTATTGTCCAGAACAAGTAGTGTTAAGCGTATGGGTACCATAAATGGCTTTGGCCAGATCAATGAAATCCGGACAGTTGATTGCTAGTATATCATCTTTGTAGCGGAAGAAACATAGCCTTGCATTAGGGTGTTTACTAATATAGCGGAATTCCATCACGGATAACGTAAGATCCGCGATATCAGGACTGGCGTTTCCGCCCATTGGGACCCCTTGTATCTGTCTAAACAGATATCCTCCAAACCTCACGTAGTTTTCTGAAAGAATAATACGAGGGATCGCTTCCACTTCATCTTTATTATAACAGGCGAGTTTGGTTAGGATTTTATTAGTAAACCATACCGATCTGTACCCGACTACGTATTCCTTACATGCATTAGAAAAACATAAGTCTATTAAATTACTATTCAAACTGTTGGCAATTTCCACATGCGACAAACTAGTGAAAAGATTACTGAAGTCTGTAGAGTATAGGTGACTAATTTCTGACTCTAGTGCATGAAGTTTGTATAAAACCGTGTGAGAATTTGCACACAAAAAGTACAATCTATCACCTCTTCGCTGTGTGATCTCATTGCAGTAATTTTGGAAGTGGGTCCTGAGATGCCCGAGAATTCGGTGTAGTATAATGGATAACTCTCTAAGTGAGGATTTGTTGGCTGCAGCTATAAACCTGTATGTGGGTTCTTATTTAGCTTAGGCACCGCATAAATTTTGTGGATACAGCTATCAGTCATAGTGGTGTTTATTTGGAAGTGACTGCAAATGACATCATGCATGTCAAGTACCTGTTGAACAGTCATAGTTACGGGAGTGTAGAAGTTATGGTCTAGGACTTCACCTTTGTCTGTCAGGCCTAATCCCTTGGAGTGTAGCATAGCATAAAATTTCTTGCAAATGATAATGTAGTTGTTGGGGACCTTATCAGCTGTTGTAATCACATAATCCTTATGCAGCGCATCGATAGCCTGGGTAACCCTGTTTGGTGCCAGTAGCTCTGTTTGGTGCCAGGACTAATATGCGTACTCTGCCACTGGAGGAGTGTTATTAATCTGGTTTTGAAATCACGAAAACTGGTGATAGGGAGGTTCTTTTTATTGGCACATTTTTCCAGAAAATTATCTAGAGTCATGCTGAACTCTTCAAGCACCTCCTGGAAAGTACTATTTCTACCAGTTCTAAATTTTGTA